CCTCCTGCCCACCTGTGCCTGAGCCCTTCTGGCTGCTGACTTCTTCCCTCAGAGTGAAAGCCCTCAGGAAGCAAGCAGCCGGCAGACCAAAGGTCACGGGTGATGAAGACCCTGTCATGGGCACGGCCACCTGGGTGAGTGATGTGGGTGTCTTCTCACGCAGTGGAGGGAGGGCTGGGCATGTCCATTGAACGAGTCCACACTCAGCTCCTTGGCATTTCCCCAAACCTGCTCCTTTCTGATCACCTCCCGGAGCCCATGCCAGCCTCCTGCCCCAGCCATCCTGACCACCGAGCCCACCTGACTTCTCTGATAGGCACAGGTTGCCAGAAACATCTCCCCAAGACTGTAACTTTCTATCCATTCTGCGTGTGTTGCTTCACCTCCTCAGCTCAGTTTCCTCATCTGTAAATGGGGATAACAGTGTCATTGACACTGGTTTTTCTGTGAGGATGAAATGTGATTAGTAGGCCTTCAGTATGGTCTAATCAATTGTAGTATTACAAAATCTTTAATGCATGAGAGAATAGTTGAGTTCATAAGAAGCGTGTGGAGTGAGAGGATGAATGGAAAACTGTTCCATCAGCCCAACTTCCCCTTGGGACCGTGTCTGCCTTAATCTTCTCTCACTCCCTTCTCTCCCCTTCACTCAGGGCCCCCAGCAAAATCCCAGACCAGACAGGCCCCCAGAACAAGTGTCACCTGCTGAGCATGACCCTCTCTCAGGGGAGCAACAGGAGCTCTACTATGCCAACCTCAGCTTTGAAGGGATGCAGCCGCGGGAGCCTCAGGACCAGGAGGCCACCAACACCCATGAGTACTCAGAGATCAAGACGACAAGCAAGTAAGGACTTGCTCAGAGCTCGGTCCTGGCCGGAGGCATCACAGCCCCTCTGGGGAAAAGAAGTCAGAGACTCATTGGTGAAGCACGAGATCTTGTGGCATGACTGCCACTGCTGTACAGGCACCCCTGGCCGAGCGGAAAGAAGACAGGTGATGGGGTTACAGAACTTGGGGGCTCATAGGCAAGCTTCAGTGCTTCCTAAGGCATTGTCATCAACCGATCCACTTTCATTTCTCGGTGCCTCAGTTTCCCGTTCTGTGCAGCACAGGCCATGCATCCTACTCAACCGTGGTTGTGAGCATTAAAGGCGTTAACACACGGAAATCAACGGCGAGTGCTCAGGGCTTGCTGGTCTCTCTTATTTATTTTGACAGAAAGGTCCTGCTGGAACGTTCCCCTGAAGCCGGCGGTGATGAGACACACAGGGCAGGCTGACAGCTTGTTGGTGCCATTTTCCATCCCAGAACTCTTCAAAGGCCCCCCAGGGAAAGACCAGCCTCCCCGACCTGGACTTCGGGCCCTGTAGCATCTTATCGCCTCTCTGGGGTCACCTGGCCTCATTTTCCCCTGTCCATTCTCCCAGCACCTCCTGACCTCCAGTCCCTTCCCTGTGCCATTTACGGGCCCCACATGGATCTTCCCAACAGCCTGTCCACCGTCACCAAAGCGGACAAGGTAGTTCTTCACCAAAAAGGACTTATTCAGGGGGAAGAGACAGGCACGCGAGGCACAGCTGCCACAGGCTGCGCCGGACGCAGGAAGGAAGCCCTTTTACGGAGGGGAAGAGGAAGTTAGGGGGCGGGGCTATTAGGACCATAGAGCTCTGCCCGTAACCATAGAGAGGCGCCTGCAGGGCTCTCAGCACGACACAGGGTGCGAGAGCTCCCCCCACAGGCCCTCCCGAGTCCTGCCTTGGTTGAGGTCTCCGGGCTACATGTGGAGAAGCGCGAGAGTTGACCCTGACTCTCTCCTCCTGCACAAACCCCTTCCTGACTCCCTGGCTTTAGAAAGTACAGCGCAGGCATCTTCCCCTGTCATTTATCTACTCCCCCACCCTCTCCTCGCGGCCCTCGTTCCTTCAGTCCTCCATGGAAGTCTTCGCAATTTCAGATCCCTCTCCAGGAGGCCATGCCTTCTTGCTTTCATCTGGCTTACACCATCCTGTCCTTCAAACCTGAGTTTGTTTTTTTTTAGTATGTATTATTGAGATATAATTGACATATAACATTATACCGGATTCAAAGGTCCAACTTCATGACTTGGTGTATGTCTATATTGCGAAGTGCTCACCACACATCCATCACCACTTTGATTTACACACCATTTTTCATGAGATGAGAATTTTTCACAATTCTCTCTCTCTCAGCCATATACTCTCTTAACAATTTTCAAATATGCAACACAGTATTCTTAACTACATTATTGTAGTTAATAGTATTAATACCTACTATTATTAACTACAGTCACCATGCTGTACATTACATCCTCATGATTTAATAACTTTATAACGGGGAGTTTGTACCTTTGACCACCCTCATTCATTTTACCCACCCCACACCATCTGCCTCTGGCAACCACCAACCAGTTCTCTGTATCTTTGAGTCTGATTTCTTTCAAAGTTTCTACACCTAAGTGAGATCATACGGTACTTCTATTTCTCTTTCTGATTTAGTTCACTTAGCACAGTGCCCTTGTGGTCATTCCATGTTGTCACAAGTAGCGGGATTTCTTTTTTTTTTTTATGGTAGTGTAATATTCCATTGTATCTATCCCACGTTTTCTTCATCCATTCATTGCTGGCCACATAGGTTGTTTCCACATCTCAGCTATTGTAAACAATGCTGCAAAGAACATAGGGGTGCTTATGTCTTTTTAAGTTAGTGTTTTTATTTCCTCCAAATAAATACCCAGAAGTGGAGTGGCTGGGTCATGTGGCAGCTCTATTTATAATTTTTGAGGAACTTCCATGCTGATTTACATAGTGGTTTTTCCAATTTACATTCCCAGAAACAGTGCTAGATGGTTCCCCTTTCTGAACATTTTTGCCAGCACTTATTATTTCTTGTCTTTTTTATAATCCTGGCTTTGATTTGCTGGACGGATCAGTGATGTGGATTTTGGGGGCACAGCCATGGAAATCCTGCTTTCTTTAGCCCTCTAGCTTTCACTAGACAATCTTCATTGTAATACGTGAAGAGTCTGGGTGGGTGGGGGTGGAGCTGGTTACCACTCGTTCACTTGTGCCCGGGGCAGGGGAAGACTCAGGTTTTGTGGAGCCTGATATTTATAGAAATGTTGACATCACTGTACCAAAAAAATACAAAGTGTCGCAGACATGGATTTTTCTGAAATGAGAAAACACATCAGAACAAGTCACAAAAGTGAAAATGCTTAAAACCAAAATATAAGACAATTGAGGAAAAGTACAAGCTGTTTTTGTTAGCCGTGTGGCACACCTGTCTGGCACACCTGCAAAATACATGTTCCCTACAATTTTTTTAAACCGTCACCCAAGGGTATGTTTATTGATTTTAGAAAGAGGGGGGAGAGAGAGAGAGAGAGAAAGAGAGAGAGAGAGAGAGATCGATCAATGTGAAACAGAAACATCAATCGGTTGCCTCCTGAACTGACCACTACAGGGGATGGGGCCCTCAACCTAGGTATGTGCCCTGACCAGGAATGGAACCCACAACCTTTTGGTGTATGGGGCAACCCTCCAACCAACTGAGCCACAACACAATTTTTGACTGATACTCTTTGATTGCCTTTTTATAGGAGATTAATTCTGTCACATAGGAATAAATGTTTGTATTATATGAATAAATATTAATTATTATAATAATATTATATTTATATAATACAGAGAATAGAAAGAGAATTCAATACTTCCTTCAACATGGATGATTGACATTTCTTTTTTCCTGTATAGTTAAAGAAACTTTCTTTCAATCGCACAACTTGTTATTGGGTGCCTGAACTGTTTCACATCCTTGTAAAATTTGGAAAATTGTTTATCAAGGTTCTTTCTTTCTTAAAATAGCAGTAGGATTGCAGGTTAATTCCACACATCACTGGAGCCCTTGCTGGGCTTTGAAATGGGACTGAGTACATGAGGGGCCCTGAAGATGGAGTTTCCTGACCTGTAAGGTGGCAAATTCGAGGCTAGGCTGAGGTTCAGCCTTTGGGGTCCCCCAATGGGATGATATCTCCCTTCACATATAGTGGATTGAGGGGCCTGTGTGCCACTGCTGACCCACAGACCTTCAGGCCCTGGAAGACCAATGTGTATGCTTCCCCTGTCCCCAAAAAGCCTTCAGAGCAAAGGACTTTAACTCTCAGCTTTCCCCCTGGGTTCCACCCTCCACTGGAGTTGGGTCTAAATTTTTCCCCCTCCTGCCAGCGCTTGAGTTATCTAAAGAAAATTTAAAGTTATCTTTTTCTAGAACATTCAGTGGTTTCAGCTGGAACATGGGTCTCCCCCCAAGCCACCAGGACCAGCTCTGACTGAGATGGTCCTCTGGGCAACCTCTCATCTTAAACATCATCTGAAGGTGGTCACTTTCGGATGCACATCTGGACAAGCCTCTCAGCCTCTGGGGCCTCAGTATAGTCATCTGCAGGGTCTGGTGGAGGAAGGGAGACAGGATTATTTCTCAGCCACCACCACAACGCTCACAACTTGTGGAGGCCAAGTTCCCCTTGTAGGCCTGCCCACAGCTCTGTCGCCCAGGGCTTCCTGTGGGTGCACTCTAGGCCCCACCCACAGCTGGGCATCTCCCTCGGACCCAGGGACCTGGACTGCTCTGCCCTGTCAGATGCAGACATGGTGCCCCTGCTGCTGCTGCCCCTGCTGTGGGGGGGTGAGTGGGCCGAGGGAAGAGGGGCTGGGCAGGTGAGGGAGGGGCAAGGCTGCAGCTGAGCCTCTGTGTCCCCCCAGGGTCCCTGCAGGAGGCACCAGACTTTGAGCTCCAAGTGCAAGAATCAGTGACAGTGCAGGAGGGTCTGTGTGTCCACGTGTCCTGCTCCTTCTGGTACCCGACGGGTTTTCAGGGTTCCTCTAACAAACTCTACACCTACTGGTACCGGTATGAGGACAGGCCATACTATGGTTATCCTGTGGCCACAAGCAACCCCCAAGAAACAGTGAAGAGAGAGACCAAGGACCGATTCCTCCTCGGGAACCCCTGGGACAAGAACTGTTCCCTGACCATCAGAGACGCCAGGAGGAGTGACACAGGAACCTACATCTTCCGAATGGAGAGAGGATATAGAAGATATACTTACCAAGATAAGCTGCTGAATTTGCAAGTGACAGGTATGGCAGGGGCTCAGGAGAGAACCCAGGGACATGGGACCCTGTCTTAGAACAGGAACAGGACGCTGGGACACTCCCTGTTCAGGCCTTGGGCCAAGGGTGGTGGGAAGAGGCCCAGGGCCTGGGGTGAGCTGAGGCCCTGAGGCCGGGTCCCTCTCAGGGTCACGCTCTGAGTCCCCACTTCCTGGAGCCCAGGCACCTGCCTCTCTCCTCAGCCCTGACAGAGAAGCCCCACATCCACTTTCTGGAGCCTCTGGAGTGTGGCCGCCCCACTCAGCTGACCTGCAGCCTGCCAGGGTCCTGCAAAGGGGGAAGACCTCTCACCTTCTCCTGGGCGGGAGCCGCTGTTGACTCGCTGAACCCCCAGACCCTCAGCTCCTC